GGCATAGCTCAGCATGGCACGGCATAGCACAGCACGGCATAGCTCAGCATGGCACGGCATAGCACGGCACGGCATAGCTCGGCACGGCATTGCTCAGCATGGCATAGCACGGCAGGGCACGGCATAGCTCGGCACGGCATAGCTCGGCACGGCATAGCTCAGCATGGCATAGCATGGCACGGCACGGCATAGCACGGCACGGCACGGCATAGCTCGGCACGGCATAGCTCAGCACGGCGCAGGGTGGCACAGCAGCACATAGTGTGGCATGGCACAGTGTGCTGTAGCGTGGCATTGCACGGCGTCTCTTGGCATGGCATGGTGCGCCTTGGCTTGGCATGGCCCAGCCTGGGCTTTCCCCTCTCCCGCCGTGTCCACCCCACTCCCTCCATCCCCGTGGTCCCATACCACATTCGTGTCCTTTTCCAGCTCCTGCTCGCTGCCATCGTCCTCATCCCCAGTGCCTGGGGGGCCGCTGCAGTCCAGCCGCACGAGGGCCCGGCAGCGGTAGTGGCAGGTGAAGCTGCAGTCTGGGGGCAGAGGGCACCGTGGGCACAACGGCCCCAGCACACCCTGTGCACCGCCTGTGCCACCTGCCCACACTGTACCAAGGCACCCGGGGCCAGCACCCACATGGCACTCGGTGCTGCTGGGCAGTACTAAGGTGCCCGTGTCCCCTGCCTGGGTTACACAGTGGGGGCACCCAGCAATGGGATGCCTGGTGGTTGAGCCAGGGGTATCCTTGATACCAGGATACCCATGCCAAGGGAGATGGTACCGGGTGCTCAGTACTGGGATGGTTGGTACTGGAATGCTTGGAACCAGGATGCCCAGTAGGAATGCTCAGTACCAGGTTCCAAGGACCAGGATGCTCAGTACTAGGATGCCCGTGCCCTGGGTGGATGTCCAGTACTGGGGCTGCAGTTTTCATTTTGGTGGCAGTACTCAGCACTGAGGAGCTCAGTGCCTGGGATGCTTGGTACCCAGTGCGGGTGCCCTGGGCAGAGATGCTCAGTACTGGGGTGCTCAGTGCCTCAGGGAATGTTTGATGCCAGGTGCCCACACCCTGGCTGCTACCAGGATGCTCGGTGGGGATGTCTGGTGCCAGGAGGCTCAGCACTGGGACACCTGGTACCCAAGGGGATGTTCCCTATTACTATGCCCATGCTTTGTAGTATTAACCTAGTACTGGGGTGCCCCATGCTCAGAGTGGTGGGGTCTGATACCGGGATACCCGATGCCTGGAGCCAGGGGGGGGATGCCCTATACTCGGTACTGGGATGCTCGGTGCCTGGGGAAATGCTCGGTACTGGGATGCCCAGCGCCCAGGGGGATGCGTGGTACCAGGATACCCGATCCCAGAAAAGCCAGTACCCAGGGAGATACATGGTACCGGGATGCTCGGCGCCGGGACATCCAGCGTCCAGGGAAGATGCCCAGTGCCCGGGGGGATGCTCGGCTCCGGGACGCCTGCCCGGCAGCGCAGGGAGCGGTACTCACGGCGGCACTGGAGGCTCTTCCTACCGCCTCCCCAGACGAAGTCCCCGCAGAGGTCGCACCAAGTGTGGAGCCCGCGGCGCCGGGGCTCGAAGCGATGCCCGGTGCTCGGTGCTGCCGCCGGCCTGGGCTCGGGCCTCGCTCCGGGGCCGTGCCGGCGGGCCGGGCTGATGCGCAGCGCGTTGGTTCGCTCCAGGCGGCCCCGGCCCGGCCGCGGCTCGGGCTGCAGCTCCCGCAGCTCGATCAGCTCCATGGTCCGGGGCGTTGCGCTGCACGGCGGGGCGGGGGCCGGGCCGGGAGCGGCCGCCCCGCGGGGGAAACTGAGGCAGAGCCCCGGCGAGGGCCGATGGAGTGGCGGCGGCTCCGCTGGCTGCGCCCGGCGGGGCGGGCTGGAGGCGGGGACGGGGAGTGGAGGGGGATGTGGGGGGGGTACGGGCCGGCCCCGTTCCCCGCAGCCCGGGGCAGCCCCGCTCCGCGCCTCAGTTTCCCCGCCGAGGGCTGCCCTGGAACGGCTGCCGTCAGCCCCGAGCTCCGTGCGGGGGCAGACGGGTCCTTTCCTCCCCACACCGCCCCACGGAAACGAGCACCGCGGGGCCCGGCCGGCTGCGAACGGCCCCGTCCTCCTGGCCGGCTCCACCAGAAAACGCAAAGGCCCGGCTGCTGCCGCCTCCACCGCCGCTATTCAGAGCGCAGGGGGAGAGGCAAAGCCGAGCTCCCAGCCCCGCAGGCACGGGGACTGCACCATGGGGAGCCTGCCTGCCCCGAGCCCACTGCTCCAGTGCTCCTGTAACTCCACCGGCATCCTCCCGGGTACCCTGAGACCACACAACACCCAGGGGATTGAGCCTCAGTGCTGAAGTCCCTTCAGATGAAAGCAGAGGGGGAAGCATCAAAAAAATCCTTCCCAGGCTATTCTTTTTCCCCCTACAGAAGTGCTCACAGCCCTGAGCTGCTGGAGCTCAAGGGGCATTTGGACACTGCTCACAGACGTTAATATTTGGGCGATGCAGTGTGGGGCTGGGCATTGGACTTGGTGATGCCATCAGGTCTCCTCTAGCTGGGGGTATTCTACAATTCCTTTCTGCACTCAGCTCTGGACCCTACAGGGGCAGCTAACAAAGCCCCAGGAGCACGCCTGCTCGCTCAGCTCCACGCTAACCACATCCTCTGCCCCCCTCAACACCCCCTGCTGCTCTAACAGTGGGAGGTGATGCTGAGCCCTTCTCGTCCCGCTGCCTCGAGGAGCTTGAAGCAAGAGTGAGCCCATGCCTCAATGATGGCAAGTTTGGCCATTTTGATCCCTGTTTCCAACCTTTGGTCGCTCTTTTTTCAAGTTCTCCAGGCTTCCTGTTGTCGCACAGGGTAAAAAGCAACACACACAAACCTCTCCCTGGGTGTGAGGGAGGGAAGGAAGTGGTTTATTGTCTTCAAAGAGGAGACAAGAGGGGGAGCCGAGCTCCTGCAGGGTGCAGTAGGAGGGGGGGTGGTGACAGGGAGGCTGAGCCCCATGAGGCTACCAGGGAGAAGGGCTGTGAGCCTGCCTGCATGCTGCTACAGGGCTTTTCTCCAAGGAGAACCGGGCCTTGCTGTGCTGCAGGTCAGACCTTGCCCTGCTCACAGAGTACCTGCACTGCCTGACGCCCGGGCCAGCAGGTCGCAGGCGGTGCGGTGCTTCTGCCAGTGCTGGACCTGGCATGCCCTGCGGGGGGAGCCGCGCATCAGGGCCGTGCCCTGTCTGCAGAGCCCGGGGGGATGCACCCCGTCCCTGGGCTCGTCAAGCTGCTGTAAGGCTCAGAGAACGGGCAGGGGGAGCTGCAGGTGCCTCACCGTGTGCAGTACCACTCATTCCTGCAGCGAGAGCACCGCTTGGCCGCCTCCACACCGCACACCCGGCACCGGGGTTTGTCGGGGGCGAGGGCCTCCAGCACGTCCAGGCTGTACGTCTGCGCCCACCTGCAGCGGGACGGGAGGGGGGACTGCGCACAAGGAAGGGGCAGCAAGCAGCACGCTGCCACAGCTGCGGCCCCGCTCCCTGGGACCTGGTGACAAAGGCACGGAGCGGGGCCTCACCTGCGTGCCTGCAGCTTCAGCTCTTCCTCGGTGGGGCTGAAGGCGTGCTTCACCTGGTGCTTGGCGATGGCCTCCCACTTGCCCGTGTTCTTCTTGAGGATGTGGTCCCAGATGACAGGCACCTGGTGGGAGAGGCAGAGTGGGAGATGGCAGCCAGAGCAGGCAGGGACAGGAGGGCAGCTAGCCCGGGGCACAGGGAGCAGAGCAGTGCAGCACGTGCTTGTGGGTACACACGGAACAGAGCGACTCGTCCAACAAGGCAGTGAGCATTAGGTGAAATAGGCAAAACCCAGCTCCCAGGCAGACCCACCATCCTCACGCTCTGCCAGCTGGGGCTGCGGCAGCAGCATGAACCCAGTGCTCTGCAGCCGTTCGTCTGAGCAGATTTTTCCACCCATCACTTCCCCAAATATGATCACCAAGGGAAGGGCTTGTTGCTGTGAAAGGGAAAGCACCAGCCAAGAGCAGCACGTGGGGAGGAGGATGCTGCTTCAAACAGCGCTGATGGCCCATGCCAAGCAAAAATAGCCAAGCCTGGAAGGGGAGGAGGCTGCTTTGAGAGAAGTCAAATGGAAAAATAACTTTTCTCCATTTGGCTTCGTGACAAGGAGTGAGTTCACTCTTGCTGGGTAGAGAGTGGAGTCTGTGTGAGTGCCTCCAGCTGGCTCCCCCTGCCTGTCCTTGGCGCAGGCAGAAGCCACGCAAGCCCAAAGGCAGAGATGCAGAGAAGGGTAGCAGCCTGGATGAGGTCTCCAGTGTCCTGCCCCTGCCCACTGACATGCCAGCAGTTGAGCTGGGGCAGTGATCTGCCCTCTCTTTGCAAACAGTTTCCAGCAGTGAGGGTGCCACAGTGGAATGGGTGCTTGGCTGCTATTCTGGGGCACAGCTTCCCCAGAGCAGGACTCGGCTGAAGGAAAAAGGGGTAGGGAGTGACCAGGCTTAAAAGAGATCAGCAGGAGAGATGAAAGAAGTCACCACATGCCTGCTCCAGAACAAGATCCTTCTTTGGAGGAGCTGGCTCTGTCACTGCCAGGTGGCTCAGAAATCTCTGCATCTCCACCAGGTTGGGCAGCTGGTCCAGGAGGACGTCTGTCAGGAATGCACGGAGCTGCAGCCATGCAGGGAAAGAGCAAACAGAGAGAGGTCAGGACAAGGGAGCCAGAGCAGGGTTATGAGACTCGAGGGCTCTGCATGTGCACAGGGCAAGCAGCACAGCACGAGCAGGGACTGTGGGGCACTGGCAAAGCAACTCCCGGGAGTCCCAAGCACTGCACTGCTGCTCTCACACCACTGTCCTCCAGGAAGCCTACCTTAAGGAGCTGGCTCTTGTTGAAGCCATCAAAGTGGTATTTGTGCTGGCATTCCGGGCTGAGCAGGAGGTTAAGGAGGGCGAGCCACACCTGCCCATCAAGCTTAGTCATCTTCATCTGGTCTTCAGGGGGCACCACGTGCCATGTGCCGTTCTCAAACTTCTTGAACTTGCCTGAGGGACAAAAGAACACAGGGCTCCAGGGAGAGACAGAGCTGCCCCAGGAAACAGGGCTCTGGGGTTGGATGCTGCCCTTCATCCGCTTCCTCACCCAGGCTCAGGCAAACCCCTCTGTTTCTGTCTGCCCAGTGGCACAGCAGGGTGCCTGCTTGGTGCAAGGACAGTATTTTAGAGAGCACAGAAAGCATTAAGAACACATCTTAAAGTGATATGGTTGTGGCAGGAACTGAAAGATCCCTGTCACTCTCTGTACTGGCTAAGACTGAAGAACACTGGTAGATGGTGGGGGAACGCACACCATAGCAGCAGAGCTGCTGCAGAGGCATGTTTTGGAATGTCAGCATGGCCAGAACCCACTCTTCCTGAGGTACTTCTGCCAGTGAAAGCCAGAAGTAGCACAACTATAACAGAAGTTACAGAACAAGCTAATGCGCTGCCCCAGGGAATGGAGGAGGATGTAACCCTGCATCTGCACAGCCTGGAAATGCCTTTGCATTCTGGTTTCTTTCCAGTCCCTCCCTCAGGACCTTGGATCAAAGTTCCCTCTGACTCTGAGCATGCATGCAGAGAGAAGGGATGCATTTCCTGGCTGGAGGAAGGAAAGTTCCCACGTCCAGCTGGGCTCCTCAGCACGCATGGAGCCATGTGCTTCCCAGCATCTCTTCCTCCCTTACCTATACTGTGAACTCCTGCTAAGATGCTTTCCCCTCATAGGCCTGCAGTGGATTGTGCCATTTTCCACCGCACTGCTGCTCAGAGGGATGCAAGGAGGAAGGGGGGGATGCACCTGGGTGCAGAGGAGTGGGGCTGCCAGGGCTCCTGCAGAAGAGCTACCGGTAGGTGCAGGTCCCAGCAAGGCTGCACAGGGCACGACCCATACCTGCTTCACGGCAGCTCCACGGGCAGTGCTCCACCAGCTCGACGAGGAGGCAGGGCAGGTTGTGGGTGTTCAGCATCCGTGTCAGCGCGCTCAGGGGCAAACTGGAGATTTAACAGAAAGGGGAGATGGCGCTCTCAAGCAAATACCAAAACGGATACAAGCTCTCCCTGAGGCAACTGGGAGAGATGGGAGAAAAACAGTGACGGTAAGAGCAGCTCCATTTCCCACTGAGTGCCACAGAGTAGGGTGGAGTGCTGCTGTGTTTGCCCTCGGGACAGTGCCACTGCTGCTGCAGCCAGCTGCAGGAGGTGTCCGGGAGCAGAGCTGGGCTGAGAATCACAGGAATCTCAAACAGCACTCGGGGCCCATTCTCTGCCATGCCTGGGCACCTACCTGCCCACCTGGTCAGTGATGAACCGCAGAACGGACAGCGCTTTTAGGGAAATCTCAAACTCCATCATCTCCGCCTGCTTCTGCAGCTCCTGTGGAGGGGAGAAGCACAGTTGGGAGTTCAGGCCCTGTTTCCCAAGAGCAACAAAGAGGCAGCTCGTTGGCTGCACATCAGCGACCACAGATTGGGGAGGAAACCAAACCCCTGCAAAACAAACTCCAGTCCTCATCTGGACTGCAGCAGCACTGCCTGTTGCCAGAGCAGGGACAGCAGTGCCTGCAGCCTGCTCTAGTGCATCCCTCCTGCCCCTGTCCCTTACAGGCATCTTCTCTGGCACTGCCTTGTGGCCCTGCAGACAGGTGAGGTTGTGGGAGGGGGAATCTGTATGACCAATAGAAGGAGGAGAAACTTGGCCATGGCACAGCAGCAATTCTTGACCTGCCTCTCTGGCTCTGCCTCTCCTCTCCAGCTTATGGCCAGGCAAAATCCCTCCCAGTGTTATGCCAGCCCCCCAGCTAGGCCATTTGGCCTCTGGGCAGTGTGTGCACAGCTTCCGTCCTCCACACACCCTGTGTGAGGCCTGCTCCTCCTCTCCAGTCCAGACAAGCTCATCGGCTCACGGCTGTGCATGCAGAGCTGAGCCCAGCAGCTCCCATCTTAAGCCATTTGTGTTCCTATAAAATACCCATGCAACAACTTCCTTCTACATTCCTGCAGTGACTTCTCCCTGCTTTCCCCACGCCAGTGCCCCATGCGGGAGCACGCATGAGGCTGCATGAAGGAGCCCTGCTTCTCTATGGCTCCTGCTGGCAGCTGGACCTCATCTCTGCCACCGTAACACAGGGACTGTCCATGCTTTGGGCTGCTCCGTGGCCACCACAGCACACAGCCATAAAGGACGCAGCACAGGAGAGGGCAGAAGCTGCTTTTTAATATGGAATCACTGTATGTTAAGTCAGGAGGGGCTGGGATGAAGTGTGGAAAGCCAGGCTCCTTGGGCAGCTAGTGCTTTTCAGAGCCCTACTAGCTTGAAAGGATCATTTTTCTCCAAGTCACCTCAAAGCACACACTGAAAGCACCCTGCCTCAAGCTGGGAAAACATTTCCTGGAAAAAAAATCCCTATTGTGCTCATGAACCTTTCATTTCCTCCCCTTTTCTGGAAGAGGAACACGTGCTTGGGCAGCAAACCAAAGGATGGATGCAGAAGGAAGCACTGCCAAGTATGCAGGCTATTGCTTTAAGTCCATTTCTTCAGACACTCCTCACGATCTGCAGAGTTGTGGGAGAAAAAATTCAGTGCTGAGAAGCAAAATGAGCTCCCACAGCACACATGAGCACAGCTGCCCTGGTACACCCGAGCAGGAGCAGCCGGGGCTTGCTGCAAAGCAGCACTAACAGGAGGAATTGCTTAGAGGACTGAGGAAGTAGGCTGGAAATGCATTAGGGCAACTCCCAGTTATATCATACACAGATAGATGCAGGGATCACTTTCATGGTTAACCCTGGCTGGCTACAGTGGCAGCCCGAGCTCAGGTGGTTTCACAAGCTCCATGGAGATGTAATCAACCACTCCAGCAAATGGCCCAACCCCCTGCATTCATTCCTTAGCCTTATTATCAGCTCTCCAGGGTTCCCCCAGCTCAAAATCTGTCTTGCAGGGAACCTCAAGCTGGCACTGCAATGAGACAGGGAGGAAGCACAGTAGCAAGGTGGAGAGAGCAGCAGGCAGCCTGAGCTCAGCACAGAGCACTGCAAACACCAGGCTGCCACAAGAAGGGCAGGAGGTGCTGGTGCTGCAGCCAAGGTGTTCTCTGTAAGACAGACCCTCTGCGCCTCTGCAGGCTGCCCACCGCCTCTGCCACAGCACTTGGCTCACCTGCATGGACGAAGGACTGGGCAGCTCCTCGGGACGGAGCTCCTGCTGGGTCACTGCCTGTCCGCTGGCACTTCGAGCTGCGAGCAGGGTCAGTTTTCGATGGCAGTAATCGATTAAATCCAGAATGCTGTCCTCTGCCGACTCACAGATCTCCTTGGCCATAACAAGACGTTCAGAGATTCACAGTCAGTCCCCTGTAGCCTGCATGCCTTTATGCTAAGTTGAGCTTGAACACGCTGCTTACCTTGTGAAAAAAAACCGTCTCCAGGAGGTTGATGATGGAGGCTTCGTGATGCAGCTGAGGGGGGAAAACAGCAGGAGGCAGCTGGTGGGGGGTAGGAATGGAGTGTGGGGCTCTTTCCCTCCAAAGCAGCTGCTGTGGCCAAAAGGCAGCATGGACAGCTTGTCCTGAGTCTGAGATTCTATGAGGTTGCCCTGCAGCAATGCTGCAGATACGCAGCTGTCAAGGGAAAATACCACCTTTCCCCAGCAAGATGTTGATCTGATTGAAAATTGGCTAAAACTCCTCAGCTTTGGGTTAGATTTGTCTTAGCTCCAGGGTAGCAGCCCTCCAGAGAGAAGGAAAGTTCCTGAATCACTCTTGACAGGAGTGGCCCAAGGGACTGCTGCTCTCAGTAAGAAAAAAACTATTTATTTTTTTTAGCTTGGAGGCACTTAAGCTGTGGTTAGAAACACTGGAGAAAAGCAGTGCTCCAAGAGGGGCAGTTACCCCTGGGGCACTGCTGCCTGGGAGCAGGGATGGGAACTTCAAACTTCAGTGCTCCCTAAAAAGCTTTGGTGCCTCTCCAAGAAGGGTGGTGTGAGATTAGGCAGATCCAGGGTACTTGTCATCTGGTTTTTCAGGCGCTGAGGAGCTGCTCCAGGTTGCAGGAACAGCAATGACATAACAGGGTCTGTCAAAACCGCCAAGGCTGTGTTAGACTTCAGCAGACAAAGCACAGTCCTGCAGGGAAGTTATCCAACAGCTACAGAACCTGTTGTCCACAGCAGCATCTCAGCCTGCTGAGAGGTAAAATCACAAATCTGAGAACTTCAGTGCAATAAAGGTAGCGGTGTCTGCCCCACTTCCAGCCAATGAACTGATTCTGCGGTTTACTCAGCTCTCCCGCAGCTCCAGGAGATGGGCAGTTCTCTCATTCCTGTTCCTGTCACAATGCATATCCAGCACCACATTTCAGAGCTGGCAGGGTGACCCAAGCACCCACACGGATTTCTGAGGAACACTACAAAGGGCTGAGGCCATCATGTGGCGGAGCACCAGCTGAGCACTGCCACCAGCCCTCGCTGCCTGCCCCAGTGCCTCGGTGGTCCCCAGGACTGCCCCACTGCATGCCCAGCTCCTGTCCCTGCTGCCCCCTCCACTCACCACCACGTAGATGGGGAAAGTGCTGCGTGGGTGGAAATCCTCAAGCCGGCACAGCACGGGAAAGACCTTGTGCTTCCAGAGCTCCGCTGAGATCAGCTCTCCGATGAGAACAGGAATCTGGACAGGAGCACAGCCTTTCAGGCCCATGTGAGGCAGAGGACCAGGCTGGTGCACAGCACCCCATGCCTGTTTTGTTCCTGAGGCACGTGGCACAGGACCAATTTACTTTCTTATACAACCAGTTTTCGAGCCTTCCCTTCACAGACGCTGTGCCCAGCAAGTGAAGAGCAACACATCTCCATTGCAGTGCACAAGCAGGAAAGCTGTGACAGCAAAGGGCTCAGGCAAATCTGCTGTTTCCCAATACAACAATCACATTTGAAGGAAGAACAGCAGTTTTATCACCTGCGTTCAATAATGCAGATTTTGGAGTTGTCCTGAGTAGGAAGGCATCTGAAATCAACAGCTTTCTACTGAGTCTCTGGCCTCAGAGAGCAGAGAAAGGCAGAGAGTGATGCTTGGGTTATGAAGGGGAAGACCAAGGACCGGGCAGAGACAGGGCCCCAGATGTCCCTGAGCAGCCCAGACCATGCTGGGGCTGAGCCCTCCCAGGTACGGGACAGAGAGCTGCAATCAGAAGGGTCATGGCAAACATTGTCCAGGGAGGAACCAGAGAACAATAGGCAGGAATACCACAGCTTGGCTTTTAATGTTTTTTGAAAAGCAACAATGGCAAACCACCAGTCCGACATCTTCTCCAGCAGATTCTTCGCCATCGACAGTTTGTTCCAAAATCAGATGCAGCTGGAGGCTGAGAGCCTGGCACAAAGCCCTCTGTCACACCCACCCGCTACCTGCAGCACACCCCGTCCCTCCTGACGCAGTTCATGGCTTTGTCACAAAGAAGAAACCCAGTGAGAAATATCAGGGCCACAAGGTTCGTGAAGGACAAATCATGGGCACCCTCACTGCTCAGGTGGGAGAAGCCCAGCTTCTGCAGCCCGGCCCAAGAAGAAGCAGGGTGCCCACCAGTGTGTTTCCCCCTGAGCAGGACCAAGCCAAGAGATGAGGCTGGGCAGCAGGGCCTGGTCTTGGCAGAGTCGGCTGCCCCTGTGCTCACCTTGGAGTGGCTGACGAGCAGCTCGATGAGGAGCTGCTCCTGGCCGGCAGAGGCACTCAGGATAGCGTGCATGTTCAGCTTCTCCACATACTCATGCTGCCGAAGCCACCTGCAAGACAGCCAGGTCACCCTGAGTGCCCCTCCTCAGCCCGCAGTCCCACACAGATGCTCAGGGGGCCACAAAACACCCCTCCCACCTCCCAACATGAGTGAAAACCTCACATTTACACCTCCAATCCACAGGGCCCTCTGGGTCTGCCACGACACCCCCTTGCACCCCATCCAGGAGACCCCACCTCCCACCATGGGCGATACCTCAAACGTCAGCTCCTCATCCTCTACACCCCCCCACACCTTCCGGGTGCCCCACTACCTGAGGCCCCTCCTTACCCATTCCAAGGCCCTCTGGTGATCCCCAAACCCACCACTCCCTGTGAGGGAATGTTTCCCCTCACTGCCCCGTCCCTCCTCACCCCCATGCTCTGCTGAAGCCCCCCATCACCTCAGGAGGGGGACATCTCAAATCGATACCCCCGCCCCCCTCTCCCCTTCCAGGCCCCGCGTGGCCGCCCTAGAGCGGGGCCCGCTTCCCGCACCCTTTCCCGCCGGCGTCCCGCAGCTCGGTGCCACGCAAGGCCCGCACCAGCGCCTCGGCCTCGGCGGGCGACAGCGGCTCCGCGGCGGCCATGGCGTCGGTGGCGTCGCTATGGCTACGGCGGCGCCGCTGGTGAGAGGGGTCTCCAGAACTCCCTTTGAGGCGCGCTAGAGCCTCTGGCGCCCCCTGGAGGCGCGGAGGAGTGCCAGCAGGCTGCGGTACGCGCGCAGGCGGACGCGGGCACGCGGGGACACACGCGGCGCGCACCCCGGCCGGGCCGGCTCCGTCACTTCCAGCACACGATGATGTTCGGGTCGTTCTCCAGGCGCTCGTCCAGCTCCTTGTAACTCATGCCTAGGGTGAAAAGGGGGTGCTGATCGCCGGGGGCCGCACCCCCCCTCCCTCCTAACGCTGCCTAAGCATCTCTGCCCCCGCGTGTTCGGGACGCTCCAAACACACGTGGTTTGGGAGCTCGCAGAGGCGAGGTAGGGTGGCTCACTCACCCGTCTTGCAGCAGATCTCATCGTAGCTGTGGCACCCTGTGTAGAGACGGGCCGGAAGGCTACGCTCGTCCTGTGCCACCTTCACCGGGTACTTCTGCAGCCGCCGGATGAGCCCCTTCATCAGCCCGAACTGGATGAGTCTCCTGGGGGTGAGCATGACACTGAGCCCTAAGGCAGCCCCCGCTCCTTTGCCTCAGCATTCCGCATCTGCCCCCACCACCCAGGGCTCGCACCTCTCATCCACGCGCTGCAGCTGCAGGGTGTAGCGGGAGATGAGGTCCCGCACCGTGGTACCGGGGCTGAGGCCGCAGTACAGCTGGAAGACGTCACGGAGGCTGGCTCGCTTGTGCCCTGTGGGGATGTGCTGCTGTCAGCCCCCATGGGCACGTTCCCAAGCATTTGGAGCTTAGCACAGCTGTAGCACACCTGGCTTGGTGACATAGGACAGGCACTCCTCCTGGAGGCACTTGTCATCCACCATGTCCTGGACCTTTGGTGTGGTGCAGTACACGTTGGAGTACTGAGGAGCAAGTGACAAGCGGCTTGGCTTCACCATGGCTCTGGGGGATCGATGGGTGCCCCCAGCACAGCCTCCCCAAAGCACAAGCATCAGCTCACCTGAAGTATGGAGACGAGTGTGACGACCCCATAGTACCTGCAGGGCAAGGGGAAAGGTGAGAGGAGCAGAGGTCCCCCGCCTTGGGCAGCCCCCACCATGACTGCACTCACAGGAGGTTCTGCACGGCAATGCGCACCAAGTTCAGCTCCACATCTGCTTCAGCAGAAATCTTCTGAACGTGCCGAAACCCATCAATGTACGGCAGGATCTGAGAGTGGGGAGGCAGGAGGAAGTGGGGAGTGAAACAGCAAAATAACGAGCCATCCATATCAGCAGCCTGCTGCCTGTGAAAACCCACTGCACACTGGGCGAATGAGTCATCTGCAGTCCCAACACAAAGTGGGAAACACTGAATTATGCTGGGGACCATGCGAAGCTCCGGGGTAGTTCCCATCCCAAGCACCCTCTCTGCACGCACCTGCTGTGTGGTGAGGTCCCACTGGGAGTTGAAGAAGTCATCCTTGTTCTGAGTGAAGACAGGCACATCGTACTCCTGCACAATGGGGGGGTCTGGCCGCTGTTCAATCACCTTCAGGTGGATGGTGTTTGACTCATCTGGAGGGAAGATGAACTTCAGTTCCAAGAGACACCTCTGGAGCTTGCCATCAGTAGCCCCAGAACATCTGGAAGCCCCATGAGCAGAGGAGTTTCTGTCCAAAACTCCATTCCTTTGAGCCAAGGTGGCTCAGGCAGGCTCTGACTGTGAGGACAAAGTGTCGGGGCAGCATCCCCCCCCAGCCCCACTCTGCCCTTGATGCACAGTACCTACCTATGGGCAGGGTGCACTTTCCTTTAGCATTCAGCTCCTCCAGCAGGATGGTCATAATAGGCACCAGCTTCTGTTTACTCTCTTTATTAGAGATGAAACCGCTTTCCAGCTAAAGAAGGGAGAAAATTGTGCCAGCTCCTCCTGGGGGGGAGGAGCAAGAAGCAAGAAGCTTTCAGGGACCTTCATGACTACTCAGTCCAAGCATCTGACCTCTTCAGGGATAACCACAAGCTACAGCACATAACTGAGGGCATTGCCCAAATGCCTCATGAACACAGACAGGCTGCGGGACACCAATCGGCCCTCTGGAAAGCCTGTTGCAGTGTCTGACCGCTCTCACAGTCCAGCAGCTTTCCCTACTGCCCACCCTAACCCTCTCCACTCAGCACAGCCAGAGGCTGGCGCACCTCCAGTGTGGTGAGGTACCCCGCCAGCTTCTTGACGATGGGCTCCAGCGCGCAGGCCTTGGC